CTAGCTAGCTAGCTAGCTAGCTAGCTAGCTAGGTAGGTAGGTAGGTAGGTAGGTAGGTAGGTAGGTACCTACCTACCTACCTACCTACCTACCTACCTACCTACCTACCTACCTACCTACCTACCTAACTACCTTCCTACCTTCCTGCCTCGTCCTCCGCCTTCTCCGAGCCTACCTACTTACCTACCTACCGACCGCCTCCTGCCTGCCTACCTACACCTACCGACCTTCCTACCTTCCGACTTTCCCATCTGAGGGATGGAGGGATGGAGGGATGGATGGACCGAAGGATGGAAGGATGGATGGATGGAAGGATCGACGGATGGAAGGATGGATGCATGGATGGACGGATGAATGCATAGATTCATCTTGTTCGAAGTCGGTATACACGTACCATGAGTTGAAACATGTGTATATGTGCATCTCTCTACTTTTCTATCTTAACTTGCCTATCCATCTTACCTAGATCATATACATACTTATCTACCAATGTTCACGTCTGTCCTCTGCCTATCTTCGTAAGGTTTCGCATGACCTACCAACCCGGCGAACGCAGCGAGCTCAAAGGAAACAACATCGTAAGCACTGCATGTCGCCCAGACACCGGTATCCTCCGCCACGAGCAAGCGAAGCCTGAGATTGGGTCCCTAAACCCTGACCCTAAACCCTAAACCCTAAAACCTATAACCTGATGAACTCTGGGAACCCGGCTCCGACAAGTAATGCTGCTGTTGACAGGCATCTCTCCAGGCGAGGAGTCTGAGATTCTGATTTACGCACCCGATGGAACAAAGCAAGCGTGCAAAAGTAGGAATGAAACAAATACTTGGAGGCCCAGGGGGTACTTATACCCTCAATGGAGTTATCCCAGTGATAAAGCCACTTATAACCGACTTACTAAGTCCCCTGAGCCTCCAAGTACCTCCGAGTTGGCCGCTACCAGGCTCAGCCGCGAAACAGTGTGAGCGCATTTGCCATTCGCAGGGTACTGATCATCTGGACTCCCGCCAAACCGATGCAAGTGGCGTCCGAATTCCATTGCGGCTTTACTGTGGCCGGATCACAAAAGGCAACCTACGACAGGAAGCCGTAGAACCCAAAACCCTAACCCCCAAAGGCTATATACACTTTCAAGGCTCCAGCAGCACATGCGCGGCCTTAAACACATGCGAGGTACCTTATTGGGAATTGGTACGTGGAAACTTGTCTGAACAGTGTCCCCAATGTCAGAGAAAAATACTTTCAAGGGGACTTAGGCTGATCTCGCAAAGAAACCCAAAGCTTCCAAGGACCTTAGAGTTAGTGCCCTAGACCCCTTAAGAACCCAATAAGACTGTCCCTGGCAGCCTACTTGGAGGCTCATGGGACTTAGCAAGTACGGTTATAAGTACCTTAATTTGGGCTATAAGTAATTATAAGTAGAGTTACCTTATCTATAACCCTAGTTACAAAGTCCCATGAACCTTTAAGTAGGGTAAAAGTGTGCAAGCAGATGTGTAGAGGACGAGAAAGGACGAGCTCGCTAGGATACTCTATAGCTAACTTGATCCTACTACAACTCTAGGTCGCAAAGGGTCCTAGGTTCTAGGTACTCTTATGGGGGAGACTTTCCCAAATCATAATAGGGATTCCTAATATAGAAACCCTACATTCTACGGGTTGAGGGGTCTATAAGATCATGGATGCGCTTTTGATCGGGCTGCTTTGAGCCTTAGTGGAATGGCCTAGGCGTGCTTGCACGGGTGGTGAGGAGGACCAACCGCCTAGACACTGCCGAGGAACACACATGTGCAGGGGCTGGGTTGCCGTAGAAGACACTGCACGCCGAAGTGACTGCACCGGATCTCCATAGACTCCAGGCGCACTGACATTTAATCTCAAAGAGCTCGTTGATGCGCAGGGGCCTATCAATGTCTCAAGGAGTTCGACATGTTCATCCTCGCTTGGGTCCAACGCACTGAGCCTCGCCCTTGCCACAAGGCCATGAAGTGCAGGGCCATCTGCCACCGTGCAGCTTTTTGGAACGCATTGATGACCGACCCGTACGTAATGTCGTCTGGTCTAAGGAGCATGTGGGGCAGCTTCTGAAAAAGTGCTGCCACCACTGGCCAAGCAGCCGCATTGCTTGCAGCACTAATACAGGAGTTCATGCTGACCAGGTTTTGCTGGATTTGCCTTCGGCGCATGTCGTCAGCAAGCAGAAGTGCAATGGTCCAACACGAGGCACCATCACACGCGGCTATGGCACAATTATAGCTGTGGGAGTCGTGCGCCACCATCTGTTCATCGGCCAGGAGTAGCAGTGACATCGCTTGTTGCCACCTCGCCACTGCACCACATGCAGCTATGCCCTCAGTAAAGGACACAACATCAACCTTCGTCGAATTCAGCATTTGCTTCAACAGCAGCAAGGCTTGACGCCATTTAGCAGCACCCACCATGGCCCGCAAGGAGGTGTTCATGGTCACGAGGTCTCTCGGTAGGTATGCAGCCTCACAGGGGCTCGAAGAAGAAACAGAGCCATGACTGAAGAAATCCTGAAGGCCCTGTGCCTCCATGTCCTCCATCACTTGCAGCGCACCACGCCAAGATGCACCCTTTCGACATGCGTTGGCCGCAATGCCATACCTTTCAGAAAGAATGCGGCTGAACTTCGACTGCACCACGGGCTTCCTGAATCAGCTTCTTCTAGCCACTGCTGAGGCTGCGACACGATGGCGTCCGGGTGGAGACGGTGTAAGTGCCAGCGGCGCAACAGGCCCAATACCTCGTGCGAATGAACACTAGACTCACCAAACTAGCCGGTGGAATCACTGGCTTCCCAAAGGGCCCCTACCCCCTTACATAAAAGTAAACCTCGACCTCAAACCTAAACCCAAACCCTAAACCTCAACCAGTAATGGCTGCTTAGTTACATCCGCCCTCATCTCAGACCATACTGGGCTCTTGTTGAGTAAGGTACAGGGATGCGCTTTCCGTCAGACCTGCACAGCCTCTACCTGGCAGCTATCTGGGTATCAACGAAGGCACCATGAGGAAGTACAGGACACAAATGCTGAAACGGTTTGCCTGAACTTCAGATTATGGGTTTAGGAACCTGAGTTCACATGTTTACCCTTTACTTGTGGCAAGGTTCCATGATCCACGAAATCTCTAGGTCATCTCCTGCTGCTACAGGACCCCATAGTTCATACTTTTGTGCTTTTGTGGCCTATTCAAGCAGAACGGCTGTAGCGTCCGGGTAACCGCTTAAAGAAAGATGTGCAGCACCCCTAAACCCCAAACACCTTACGCTTGTCAGGAGTCTACATTGAAGAGCCTCCGTCCAGAGCGAGGCGCGGCACGTGGCCGCCATACAGGCGCCCAGGTGCCTCATGTGGTTAAACAGAACAAAACCCAAGGATCTAGGCTTAGGATAATTAGGGTGATATAGGGGCATATATAATTTTCAATACTATTTTGGGAGCTCCTTGTTATAATTATAGAAAAACGGGCCCCAAAACCCTATTCTAATTATTAAGGCCCTTATCTTAGAGCTTGTTGTTGGACGTCCGGGGTTCCGAAGGTAAAGAGCCGCAGTATATTGAAGGTGAATAGCAGTATCCATATTTTTTGGACCCCCAAGTTGGGGACACCCGATTTGGAGAAACCACTATCTGTGGATGGAATATATGTCTACCAACCTACCTACCGACCTACCTACCTCCACCTACCTCCACCTACCGACCTACCGACCTACCCCGACCTACCGACCGACCTACCGACCGACCTACCTACGTACCGACCGACCGACCGACCGACCTACCTACCTACCCGTCTGTCGATCTGTCGATCTGCCGATCTACCGATTTTTGCACCCGTTACCATGCCCTTGGTTTCAGTAGAATTATCAATTTAATTGACAGGGATCCTGGCCTGCTTTACCCTAGGGTCCCAGTTCCTGTACACTGGGTTACAGTTCTCGTCCCACAGTTACCGTCCCCTCAACGCTAAATCAACCCTATTGTGCCCACAGCCTAGTACACCACGATCTAAGAAAAACAACCCGTAAATCATAAAGCCCTACAGCAAACAACACGAAGCCCTATGAGACTCAGCAACCAGCCTATAAAACCCGTGTAGAAATTCTGGGCCTTAAGCTTAGGTCGCACGAGTGAGTGCATTCGTGCGTGTCTTTCCATGATGCCAAGGCCTGTCGGATGGATAGTTGGACGTCTCCCCCCCAAAAGAAAAGCGGGTGAGTTCCCGGAGAACCCAATACCCCTTAATTAAGGAATATACCTTAAATCATAATATTAAGGCCTCTATAATTTAGGTATATTCCTTAATTAAGGGGTATTGGGTTCTCTGGGTTTAGGGTGTTCACACGTTCATGGCTTTACTTCAGAGTGTGTGCTAGAGGGGATCATATACGCGTCTCTGCCCTTTGATGGATCCGGCCTCACGTTTGGCTCCACCCGCCGAGCCACGGCTTCCTCTAGCCTCGGTCCCCGCTGAGCAGAAAGGAAAAAGGGATCCGTAATAAGGGGCCCCCTTACTAAAATACTAGAAACCCGTAAGGGATCCCAAAGCCTAAGGTTCACCAAGCGGCAGTTTCGGTGCCAAGGCCCCGGCTTTCACGAGAGCTCGCGTGAGTGCTGCATTCTGTCCCAAGCCCCCTCCGAGCTTCGGCAACTGAGCTGCAACCATGGTGCCAGAGCGAGACACTGCTACGACGGATTCAGGTATGGTTGTAGAGTATGTAGGTATGTACACAGGCCTGCACGGATGGATCGATGGATGTCGGTATGTATGTGGTGTGTGTGTATATATATATATATATCTACATACACAGAAGTGTACAGGAGCGCATGCTTATGGGTAGTGAAACGGATACACGGACACAAGAGGAGCGGATACTGCATAGATAGATATGGGTAGGTCCAGCTAGGTCAGCAAACTGGCTACTGCATGGATAGACTTGTACAGACCTTGTAGCTATGCTGGGCTGATGGAAACCGGCAGCAGGGTGAGAAATTTCAGCAAGGCTTCTGTAGCAGATCTGTCCTGCTACTGCTACTGCTGCTGCTACGACAGCTCTTCCTCCTCCTCCTCCTCCTAGTACAACAACAACAACAACTACAACTACTACTACTACTACTACTACTACTACTGCTACTACCACTACTACACCTGCTACTACTGCTACTCCTGCTCCTGCTCCTGCTCCTGCCGCTGCTGCTGCCGCCGCCGCCGCCGCCGCCGCTGCTGCTGCTGCTGCTATGACGACGACGACGACTACGACGACTACCACTACCACCACTACTTGTACTACTTGTACTACGTATTTGTACTACTACGACCAGTACGACGACTACTACTACTACTACTACTACTACTACTACTACTATTACTACTACTACTACTACTACTACTACTACTACTACTATAATAACAACTACTACGACTACTACTACCACTACCACTACCACTACCACTACCACTACCACTACCACTACCACTACCACTACTGCTACTACTACTACTACTACTACTACTACTACTGCTACTACTACTACTGCTATAACAACTACGACGACGACGACGACTACTAGTACTACTACTACTACTACTACTACTACTACACTACTAGTACTACTAGTACTACTACCAACTACCACGACTACTACTATTAGTATTATTTTTACTACTCTACTAGCATCACTACTAACTGCCCCGCCATGTCTGCCAGTACACCATTGCTTCCGAGAGGCTTAGTTGCTGAGGTTACTATCACAACCCAAACACCAGCAGTGTCATCCTGCGCATTGCACATGGTTAAAACACTCAGTATATGAGGATATGAGCATGGCCCTAAATCCTTCGCGCCGCCATTTTGCAGCCAAAGCAGAGCTCAGAAGCTCCTCTCGCTCCTTTCGGCGACCGACTGCCACGACATACCTGACATGGGCGATGGGCGAGGGCTGAGAGTTTGGGTTTTTAGGGCTTAAGGTTTATTGTGTTGGGTTGAAGCTTTCTCCTAAATACTAGAATCTTGCTAGAACCTAGTTTTAAGAGGTTCTTATTCATAACAGTTTGGGACAGACGCTGCCTATAGTCTCCACCCTTTTGGGCTTAGTATAGCTGAACCCAACACAACCGACCCTTTTCGTCCTTCCTGATTCCGATTCCCTGGCCCGATAAGGGCAGGTTTTGGGTTCAGGGTTTACCTGGACCCCAAAAAGTATGTAGAGTAATAGCATTTTGATAGGTATTGGGCCAATTTTTGCCGACTTCCGGGGGTTTAAGTAGGGGCTTATAGGGTTTAAGGTCGGTTTTGGGGGGCTCAGGTCGTCCCGAAACCCTGAAACCCCAAAGCCTTCTATGGCAACCCTGAGCATCCTGGATCCTGCTTCTAGCCCTAAGGGGCCATGTGCCCAAATAGTAAAAACTTTGGCCCCAAAGTACATAGAAAGGGACTACTTTAAGGCCAAAGTACACACTATTCTGGTACATGGACCCTTTGGGTAGGGACGAAGATCCTGGGCACGTAAGAGCTTCGAGGTTTTCACTGGTTTTTCAAAGAAACCTGCTAAGGGTTTGGGGTTTAGGGTTTAGGGTTTGGGGTTTGGGGTTTAGGGTTTGGGGCTTAGGGTTTTGGTTTAGGGTTTGGGGTTTAGGGTTTAGGGTTTAGGGTTTGGGGTTTAGGGTTTAGGGTTTAGGGCCCTAAACCTCCCCCTCAAGAAAAGTCGTCGGCTGTAGGGTCTATGGAGGGCTTAGGATCGGGAATCGGGGGCTTGAGGACTTGAGGGGTCTTGTCCCAGCCAGAGCAGGAGGTACCGATGTTGCCACGGTTCAAGGGTATACGGTGTAGGGACAATACATCTGTCCCACGAACCTTATCCTACTTCTTTAGTCCTCCGCGTACAGCTCTGACGGAAAAAGCACCGGTCGTTCCAAGTTTGACTACCAAGAAGTCCGTAAGCGGTATCTCTGTAACACAGCACTTTGCGATTATCATAAGAAGGATGCCAATAAGTTACCCCCCCCCCATGCTCTGTAAGTCCTAAACTCGAAAGCATAAACACACGCTCATGTAAAAGCTCGCCCCTCTCGGAAGGCATATAGGCAACAAGCTAGTTAGTTGTGGATGCGTTTAAAACTGGAACGGAACCCAAATAAATACTAGAAGAACACACTACAAGCCATCCGAACAAGAGTCAAACAAAGCCCCGAACCTCAAACCATTGACTGTAAACCTACTTCACCGCCTAAACCCTAAACCCGAAACCCTAAACCTACTTCACGCACCGCAGCCTCTTAATTGCTGAGGCGCATGATCAGCGGCACCATGAAGTTGATGATCGACGAGGTGGCCAAGCCACCTGCGTCAAATTGCGGGGGTAGGACTCATGTTTAGAGTATTGGGTTTAGAGTGTAGGGTTTAGGTGTTTTCGGTTTAGGGATTCTTGAGCCAAACCCTAAACCCTAAACTCTAAACCCTAAACCCGGAAGGGTGCTACCCTAGGGCTCAAACTAGGTGCATCCGAAGGCCATCTACAGCAGCTCTTTGGGCCCAAAGATGCTCAAATTGAAGCCTTTCCTGGGGGTCCTTGGATTCTAAACGGCCTACAGGGTTAAGGATTCAGGGCTTCAAGCGTTTAGGGTTTAGGGTTTAGGGTTCCGGAATTGGCTAAGCCGCGTTTTTCGGGCTATCAGGTTTCGGGCCTTATCTAGGGACCTGAAGGAATTGATTTACGCGTCTACCTCACATCTGAGTTCTTATGCCGTCATAGCATCGGGCTAGGCTACTCCAACTCAACAGTCGGATGGCAGGTTCTGCGGATCGAGATTCAAGTTTTTGAAACACAGCAAAAACATCTCGGAGAGAACACCTCTACGATTTTCACAAGTGACAGGGTCCCCCTCTTGGAGGTTTAGTAAACACTTATAAGTAACTTAAATTGGGGCTACAAGTAATAATATAAGTAGCTATAGATACTTTATTTTAACACCAGTTACTAAGACCCATGAACCTTATTCACAACGAAACAAAGAGGCCCGAGTGAGCAAGGTTGACACTAGGACTTGGCTAGTTTGGGGTTTCTGTATTACAAGTATATAGGGAACTACAAAACCCTAAACCTAAACCCCTAAACCCTAGACCCTAAGCCCTAAACCCAGGAATAACATTACTAGATCTAGAAAATGCCTATGCAAAGCCCGAAACGGCCATGTTCTTCATCCAGCTGCCAGGCTGGTAAGTCTCGGTCCCTTCGGTTGTGGAGTAAGGCTTGCTATCTCTCTCTTTATGTATATATATATATATATATAGCTATAGATATAGATATAGATATAGATATAGATATAGATATAGATATAGATATAGATATAGATATGGATATACATATATATATATATATATCATATTGTATGTATACATATATCAAAGTACAGACCCATCTTGACCCCCTAAAAACTCCTGCCTCCTTAACGACAAATACTGCAAATCTTGTAGGCTTAAGGTGGGGCTTATCTGAAGGCTGTGAGAGCAGCTGCCCAGGTTCCACAAAATCGCTGAGAACATGAACCCAAGTTCTGCTCGTTTCCTGGTTTAGGGCTTTACGGATTAAGGCCTTTCAGAGGTCACCGACCGGTCCGGTTTAGTGACCTGGGAAAGCATAGCTGAATGAAGTGATGCGTAAGGGAATCCTAATTATTATAATTAGACTGTATTTCAGACGCCCAGCCCTTCACCTAAAGCCTATTCTATCCTATTCTAACCCCTAAACCGTGAAACATTGCACTGATTCTGTGGTACTTCTTCAACATTTGGTGCTTCACACCCGCCTCCATTGCGAATGTATTGATAAGACTGACCCGTATATAATCTCTGCATCCGGGAACCCACCCTTGAATGCGAGCTTGGGCTGTGCTGCAAGCACAAGTTCTTAAATGAACAATTTCTTCAGCCTAAAACTCACCCCTCTAGGCAACAGACACCAAACAACCAAGAAGCAAAGCTTGGCTTAGGGTTTGTAGGGTTCAAGGCCTTTTGGGGGTTAGGGCGGTTAGGGCTTATGTGCTGCACATGGTCACTGAACAAACATTATCAAGTACCGCCCACCTTGGACCCTTCAACCCCCTCAGAGAAACCCTTGGGCGTATAAATACAGTACCTACTTTGGGGTCGAAAGTCTGTAAATAGTACCTACATTGGGCTATTTGGAGCCCCAGGGAAAGGCCTATTTCCGAGATGGTGTCGAAGCCACTACCTGTGTACCTCGCCAGCCCGACTTTCGTGCAAGCTTCGAGGATTCGGGTTTAGAGGCGGGCTAGCGCTCAGTTCATGATTCATCTGTCTGGTGCTTAGTAGGGAATGGGGGAATGGATTCCTACGATAGTCTGTCAAGGTCCCTTATGGTAGTCCCTATAACCCACTCTCCCATTCCCTACCAAGCACCAGACAGTCATTACGGGCTCATATGCCAGCTTCGGATTCAAGATTCAGAAACCAAGGAACTCACCGAAGGAGGAGCACACTGCTCGAGCTGCTGTGAAATGCTTTCAGCCTTATGAGGCCTGTTCCACTGTCAACCGTTTCTGCATATGGGTAGTTTTCTAAAGTAGGGTCCCTTTTAGGGTCCTTTTTATAAGGGTGCCGTACTATATTTGGGATCTAAAACGGGACCCTAATTTACAGAACT